TCCTCTCACGCTCGCGGCATTACCATTCTTCACTCTTGCGCGCGGCGATAGCTTCCATGATACATGGACGACACTAGGTCCAAACGCCCAGACGACGCTAACCTTTGCACTCAATGCCGGTCGTGCGCTTCTGTCTTTCTCGACTCCTTCTCTCTCTCTCGCTTCTGCCGCGAGTGGTCTGGTGCAATCGAATTGCAGTCATTACATCATCCCTCTCTTAAAAAGGATTTTGTCCCCAAAATCATTGATCAAGGAGGTGGGGGTATTTCTCCCTAATTTCATCATCCCATTCCCATGTTGATTCTTCCTTTGAGTGATATTGTCATTGTACTCGGACTAGAGGAATTTTCTTATTGCGTAATACTTGCACTCGGTCATTCAACATAGGTTAAGTCTTCCCTGAGTGGGATTGGTTCGTACTCCAAACCATGGGACGGGTCAGGTTGATATTTCTTCAGCAGGGATACATGGAAGACATTATGGAGGTTGGCCAAATCAGGTGGCAGTGCAAATCGGTATGCCACGCCCCCAATCCTTTTCAGAATCTCAAAAGACCCAATGAATCGTGGGCTTAATTTCCCTTGCGTACCAAATCTCGTAACACCCTTGGTTGACGATACCTTCAAGAAGACCCGGTCTCCTACCTCAAACTCGAGGTCTCTCTTGTGATTATTGGTGTAACTCTTTTGCCGACTTTGGGCTGCCTTGAGCTGTTGGAGATCCTTTTAGAGGTTAGCTAAACTATTTCAGGCCCTAATAATTCCCTTCGCCTACTTTTTCCCAGCAGATGGGCGATCTGCACTTCTTCCCAGTAGATGGGCGATCCGCACTTCCTCCCATACAAGGCCTCGTAAGGTGCCATCTGGATGCTGGCTTGAAAGCTATTATTGTAAACAAACTCTACCAGGGGTAGATGGTCTTCCTAGCTTCCTCTAAAATCAGTTACACATGCTCTCAACATGTCTTCCAAAGTTTGGATGGTCCTTTTTGACTGCCCGTCTATTTGGGGATGAAAGGCTGTGCTAAAAGTAAGCTTGGTCCCCAAGGCTGATTGTAAACTTACCCAAAACCTAAAAGTGAACTTGGGGTCTCTGTCTGATACAATGCTGATAGGAATCCCATGAAGTCTCACAATTTCTCTGATGTATAGCTGGGTCAACTTGTCCAATGTATAGGTCATGCGAATCGATAGGAACTGAGCAGCCTTAGTCAGTCAGTCCACCACGACCCAGATATTATCATGCCCTACACTAGATCTTGGTAACCCAGAGACAAAATCCATTGCGATGCGTTCCCATTTCCACTCTAGTATGGGCAGGGGTTGTAATAATCCAATAGGTTTCTAATGTTTGACCTTCACTTGTTGGCACGTTAGACATTTAGCCACATATTGCACCACGTCTCGCTTCATGTTGTTCCACCAAAATGTTCTTTTCAAATCCTGGTACATCTTCGTAACCCCAGGATGTATCGTGTAACGAGAGTGGTGTGCTTCCTTCAGAATGGCCATTCACCTTAAACTGGGCTCCATAGAGGTAGTGCCTCTAGATTTTTAGTGCAAATACTACTGTCGCGAGTTCCAAATAGTGAGTAGGGTAGTTTTGCTAGTGCGGCTTTAATTGCCTGGAGGCATAAGCAATAACCTTACCTCTCTGCATTAGTACACTCCCGAGCCCTTTATGAGATGCATCGGTATAAATCACGAAGTCTTCATTTCCTTCGAGAAATGCCAGGATCAGGGCAGCGGTCAGTCTCTTTTTAACTTCTTGAAAACTTCTCTCACAATCTTCTGACCATATGAATTTTACGTTATTCTTGGTTAGCCGAGTTGGAGGAACAAAGTGCCTGTAGTATCGGGTTAACCCCAGGACACTACGAACTTCAGTCACATTTGTTGGCCTCTCCCATCTAAGTATGGCTTCAACCTTGGAGTGGTCGACCGCGATCCCATCATGGGAAATAATGTGACCCAGGAAGGTTACGCTGGGAAGCCAAAACTCACTTTTACTAAATTTAGCATACAACTTTTTTTACTTTAAAGTTGGCAAAACATATCTTAGATGCTGCTCATGTAACTCCCAGCTTTTTGAGTATACCAAAATATCATCAATAAAGACCACCACAAAGTTATCTAGAAATCGTCGGAACACCCTATTCATTAGATCTATGAATGCAATAGGGGCATTGGTTAATCTGAACGGCATCACAAGGAACTCTTACTGACCGTAATTGTTATAACCATCGGTGTCAGTGGTCCATGAAATGATATCATACATAATTGTTATATTCCCATTCGGATCCAAAGGTTCGTAACAGTCTGCACCCATAAACAAATATCAAAACAAATTTGTTTTGACAAGTAACATGTACATATTTAAATAAAAACTAAAGATCGACCATTTAAAGACCTCATACAGGTGAAAGGCAAAAAAAAAAGAAATACTTAGACAAGAGGGGGGAAAAATAGTAAATCTAGCCTGCAATATAACAAGATTCAAGTAACATGAGCAGTAGCAATTCTTGGAAAAAGAGTATCTGAAGGCAGGGACGGCTCATTTTCTCAGACGTGCACTGTGGTCAGGCGCTCCTCCTTATCCCAGACTTAATAAAAAGAATTTCTTAAAAGAAATGGGAGAAAACAAAGGAATATAAAAGAGGATTATAACCTGGATCGAAACTTAAAAGAGTCTCTCACAGAAGATGAACCAAGAACATACATTAAGAAAGATTTTGGAGAAAAGTTAGGGAAACCACTTCTATAAAAATCAGTCCATGTCAAGTTCAGTTAAGACAAAATAGAAGCATAGGAAATGTCAACTGGATTAGAATGTAGAGAAATTCAAGGCCAATCCAAGTACTAAGACAATTTCCAGAATATTCAGCGGCATTTTTGGACATTTCTTTGGATGGTCAGAAGCATGCCACAACATATGTAAGTTTGGAAGTGCTTTTTGTCTTTCATTATACTCTCTTTCTCTCTCTCTCTCTCGCTTTTTTCTCTTTCATAATACTCTCTCTCTTTCTCTTGCTTTTTTGTCTTTCATAATTCTCTCTCTCTTGCTTTTTTGTCTTCCATAATACTCTCTCACACACACATACACACGCACACTTGAAGGTAGACATAAAAAGTCCATGTCGGCAGACAACACAATGACAAAGACAAACAAAGCAATAGAAACAACAAATAAACAGGAAAGAGGCTAATGGCATTGTCTGAAGAGGTAGAACAGTCTTTGTAAGGTACAGTCATGTTCTACTTGTCCAGTTTGACTTTGAATGGCATGCTTGTTTAGCAAAAGATTCGGTTCTGCCATCAAACAAAAGATTTGGTTCTGCCATCAAACAAACACGCCCTAACATTTTATTATCATAATATACTATTGCAGTTGAATATTCAATATCATTTACCATACAATAATACTAACGTACACTTAATTAGAATTACTATAACAAGTGGGAAAATAATAGCACATTTGCTCATTTTTATTGCATTCAAGGATGCAATGATGGAAAATAGTGCATTGAGAAGATCAAAGAAAATGAAAATTAATAGTAGCATGAGAAACAATACAGGGAATAGATACAAAGATATTAAATAATTGGAAAATACATATGGATGGTTTCCTCTCAATGCCCTGGCCTCTCTCTTTTTTTGGTTTTGCTTTTGGATTGGTTTCTCTCTCTTAACTTCCATTTCAATGTTATTCTCCCAAAAGCAAAAGGAAAACAAAAATAAAAAACAAGAGTAATGATGCTATAGGGGACCCTCTCCCACTTATGTATGTAGGACCCCAAAGGATCACCATTAAAATTGACACGGATATCTAAAAAAGTTATCACATGGGTGTGGGACTTGACTTTTCTATAGATCCGTGCCAAATTTAATGGTCACATTCATGGGGGAGGGTCCTATAGGATCATTTCTCTAAAAAAATATATACTTATCAAACTTTGTATGAGAAGGATTCTCATACAAAGTTCTTTTTTAGATAATTCGCAGTATTGAGTTTGGATGATCAAGTGGCCTCTCTCAGGGTCTAGCTGCTCTTTACAATCTGGCCTAGGTAGTATTTTACCAACATGCACAAATTCATATTAGATTCCCTCCTCCAAAAAAAAAACTACAGTAGTATTCTAGACGAGTAAAGTTTATTATGGTCATCTGTTAGTTTTGAGTTTTGAAAGATGTATACAAGGACTAGAAAAGACGATGGCAGCACCCGCAATATCAGTAATGATAGGAAAAAGGAAATGGAATCGCAGTCATCAGATGATACTAAATAAATATTGTGTATTTTGGAACACTTTATGGAGTAATTAATTTGAGTCTTTCACTTGGCAGGCCTATTAACACCAGCATCTGGCCTATAAATGTCCTAAACATCTCGCATTTCAATCAGAAAAGAATGTCACTAGAAATCACACATATCTAGTTTATGGAAGCACACTAAAATCTTTGTAGACAGTGGGACAACCATAGTACATTGGGATCCCCACCATCCAGTGATATGGAGGGTGATGGAGAGAGTTGGGCACAACAAACAGGACATAACCACAATGGTGTGTCCTACACTCTCTCCATCACTGTCTGGCATTCTATTGCAAAGGGATGAGAGTTAACCCTAATGAACTGTGGTTTTCCCATATTCCATTGGGTTATTTCCCTTTAGTCATAATTTGGGAGGATGAACATACTTTCTTTACCTTCACCAATAGTCCCCACAATAACATATTCCATCGTTGAAATGGTGGAATCGGGTGGAGTTCCCGAGGATTATCTCTCGCCCTTCAATTCGTGATATAAGCTTCATAGCACTGTGACAATCCCCACGACCCTCAGATTCTGCATAACCCTAATGGGTGCTGGAGCATCAATACTAATATGCCCAAACGCCACTGCCAACTTTTCACTATGATAGCTCAAAGCTGGCACCTTTTGCTCTTCTTCCAATTGCTGCAACACAAAGCTCTTATCAGGAACATGCCCAAATCTCATCATTTCCTCTCCCAACTCCTCAAGCTTCTCGTGAATCTCTCTTAGTCTTGGTGGACCCGATCATTGGACACAAAAACATGAACCCCCATTTGGGCTTAGACCCAAGAGCAAGCTGTCCCCTTTTTCACTCCCCTCTCGTGCATCATCTTCCTCACTCTTGCAACCCCCTCCCATAGGGCACAAGCTGAATATATATTAGCCAATAGATCATAGCCAACAGGGTTCATTGGCTCAATGGCAAAGAGCCTTTCCGCTGCTCGTTCAGCTAGCTCAACATGCCTATGGGTTCGGCAGGCGCCCAACAAGGCCCCCCATATTACCCCATTAGGCTCAATAGGCATGGACTCCACAAACTCCTCGGCCTCATCAGGCCGGCCACAGCGCCCTAGCAGATCAACCATGCATGCATAATGGTCAGGGTAAGGGGTAATTCCAAAATCTTCACTCATGGACCTGAAGTGCCAATACCCTTCCTCGACCATCCCTGCATGGCTACATGCATGGAGCCATTCACATATGTGACATGGTCAGGGGCAATGCCATCCTGTTCTACCATTGTTCTGAATAGTTCAAGCACTTTCTCACCCTCTCCATTATGTGTGTGGCCAGCTATAATGGCATTCCATGTCACCAAATTTCGAATGGGCATTGCACTAAAGAGCTTCGATGCCTCTTTCATGTCACCACATTTAGCATACATACTAACTAGAGAATTTGCGGTGTATATATTTGAATCAAAACCAAGTTTTATTGCATGGACTTGCACCTGTTTGCCATAATTAAGAGCAGTTAGGCCCGCACAAGAACTGAGCACACTAGCGAAAGTGCCATTGTCTGGTTTAAAATCTGATTTGAGCATATGGGTGAAGAGTTTAATGGCTTCTTCATTGAACCCATTTTGTGCATAACCAGCAATCAAGGCCGTCCATGAGATGGTGTTGAGGTTAGACCTCCCATTGAAAACAAACATTGCTGACTCTAATGACCCACATTTTGCATACATATCAATGATAGCATTAGATACAAATACATCAGATTCGAGCCCACAATGGATGGTTTAGCAGTGAACCTGCATACCGAGTAACAAGCTACCAATACTAGCACACGAGCTCAAATGCTCGGAAAGGTGAAGTGATCGGGAGCAAATCCATGTTTCAACATCTCTATGAACAAATTCATAGCTTCCTCTGACAAGCCCTCTCTACTATACCCACTGATCAAGCCATTCCATGAAACGTTATCCCTATGATGCATGCCCATAAACACTCTCCAAGAACTTTCAAGCTCCCCTGATTTGCATACATGTCCATAACTGCATTCGCCACAAAGACATGGCCCTCGAAACCAGTCTTGAAGACCAGAGCATGAATTTGCTTGCCTTCAACAAGGCCTGAAATTCCAGCACAAGCACTAAGAACTCCGGCAAATGTAAATTGAGAGATTCTCAGACCAGTTCTAAGAAACTGAACATATAAAACCAGAGATAATTCCCCCTTTCCCCCTTTCCAAGCTTTGCATAACCTGCAATCAAAGAATTAAAAGAGACATTATCACCCAACTTCCCCATCTCTTCGAAGCAATGCCAAGCGTCTTCCATGTCTCCAAGCTTTGAGTATACGTCCAACAAAGTATTCCTCACTATTTCTTCCATAAAAACACCAATCTTTAACACTACAGCATGAATCTGCAACCATGGTTTAAGCTCCCAGCCACGACTGAAGCACGAAGGGCTGCAACTAAAATAATTGGTTCAGGCTTAAGTCCACTTCGATTCATATCAACAAACATTTCAAGAGCTTCAAATGCATATTCATGGCGCACATACCCACCAATCATGATACCCCATGAAACCTGATTTTTCTCATGCATTTGAACAAAAACTTGGCGTGCATCATCCAACAGGCCAAAACAACAATATCCGTGAATCATTGTATTATACGAGACGAGGTCTTTCTCAGACATTTCATCAAACACTTTACGAGCTTCTATAATATAACCAGATTTACAATAGATATCGATGCGTCTATTGTTTAAGAAGAGGCAATGGGGAAAACTGGTTTTGGCCATGTGGGTTTCGACCTTTTGGGCTAGGGAGGCCGCCATTGATTCAGAACAAGCTTGAAGAAGGCAAGAGTAAGCTGGAAACCTCTTTTTAATGGCCTGATGATCTGTGTCTTGCGGAAGTGTTATGGCCTGCTCCAATTGGCCTTGGTCACAGAGAGCGTTGATGGAGTCAAGAAGTTGTTGGGTTTTGCAAAGAGTGGTACGTGGTTTAGAGGTAGTTGCAGAGAGAAGCATGGAGGTGAACTGTCTAGGGTTACGGTTTTTGAAGATGAAGCGTCTGGTGCAGGTCTGTGAGGCCCCCATGAGAGGTGGCGGCTTCACACCAGTGTGTCATGGCGCTCTCGTACATTGATTTTGTTTAGATTTTTAGGGGGTGTAAATAGTATTATAAACCCAAATATAGTATACTCCCACGGGAGTACACTGTCTATTTAAGTTTCCCCCGCATTACTTCATCTAGAACTCATTTTAGGTCCCCAAATTGGGGAATGTAACCTTTTCAACTCATATTAACCTTAATAAAAAGTATTTTTTAGATGCATCCTCTATGCACTTGAAAACAATAATATCTCGAGGTTGAATAGACACCATCTAATTTTTCGATGATGACATCTTTACAAAACTCAAATTTAAAATTTTTCTTTTGACAATAGACCATGCATTCTATATTTCTTGGGAGGCATAATTTACTTCTACTCCCAATGTCATATAGCCTACTTTCAATCTAATTGTCGTAAACGTTTTTAGTTCTTCGTTGTTTATTCAAATTTGCATCAAAGACTTATATTACTAATTAAATTCTAAATATATTGTCATCTAGGGCTCATAACCGTTCGTGGTAGAGCATTTAGATTTAAAGCAAAAGTTCATGAGTTCCGCTCTTGTTAGGGCAAGTTTTGCCACCATAAACCAGGACACTTCGTCTCTGCTGTGTCCGAACTTTGCCTCCATAAGCTAGGACACTTCGTCTCTGTATCCAAACTTTTCTATGATGACAGACAGCTACCCATACAAGTATCCCCCCTGTGTCTAGGAGTGTCACATCGTATTGAGACAAAAGTTTGGCAATTTTGAGTGTTGCAGTAACAAAGATTATAACATACATATCATAGATGAAAATGGTTATAACATACATATCATAGATGAAAATGGTTCATAATCATCAGTATACATGAAAATGTTTCATAATCATCAGTATACATGAAAATGTTTCATAATCATCAAATATATATATATATCTATATATATATATATAGAGGAAAGATTTTTATATTCCCTCTACAACATAGAAGTTCTATCCTCCCCCTAGCATCCAGCCGTCCATTTTTTATCAAGAGAGCCACTCACCTTTTGTTTTTAGATCCGACGTCTCAAAGTATTTTATTTTTGGTTTTTTTAAATATAATTTTTCTGAATATCAAATTTGGTACGTGCCATCTTATCATTGGGGCGCATCTATAAAAAATATTAACAATAATTTTTTGATAAAAAATAATGACCAAATTACCCTTTGAAATTTTTAGGGGTATTTTGGTCATTTTATTTTATTGAAAATATATTTTTTATATTTTTCGTTAGTGCGAGTTTAATAGAGGAATTGACGTCCAAAATTTGGTGTCAACATAGTTTATAGTAGTGGTTTAAAAAACGGATCGGTGCCCCAGGTCGGGCACTCCAAAAACCCATCCGGATCGGTGAATTAGCGATCCGGATCGGGAATCATCTAACTCTGTTGGATTAAGCTTTAAAGAAATCCAAAAAAATTATTAAAATTCATTATAAATGTTGTCTTTTAGGAATCCAATAAGAAACGACGGTAATACATTGTTAACTTTCATTTTTTTCATCAATTTGTGAATATTGAGACGTTCTTTCCCTGCATAAACTTATGTTAACCATTAAATTTATATCACACAAAAGAAAAATGATAAAATTATCAGTGATAAAGTATATCAATCACACATAGACTCCAATAAAGAGTAGACTAAATCAATGAAAAAATGGCCACTAAAATCTTGAATTGGCGAGAAACCCTACTTCACTAAAAAACCCAAATTATTACAACCTAATTATAATCCAAAATTATTACAACCTAACTAACTTTAATATTATATATTGAAATTAAAATTGTTGGTTAACATTTTATAATTATTTTATTATACAAACAATAACAAATCCAAAATATTTTATAATATCATCTAATTTAAAATGTATTATTGATAACTGTAAGAAAAATAGTATATTACATGATTTATAATGCAAAAGTCAATAAATAATTCCAAATTTATTACAACCTAACTAACTATAATATTATATACTGAAATTAAAATTGTTGGTTAACATTTTATAATTATTTGATTATACAAACAATAGCAAATCCAAAATATTTTATAATATCATCTAATGTAAAATATATTATTGACAACTGTAAAAAAAATCGTACATTAGATCATTTATAATGCAAAAATTAATAAATAAAATAAAATTTTGGTTATCAATATAGAAACTATTTGAATACGTATCAATTTTCGAAATAACACTTCAATTTTTCAAAATTTTAATTTTTTAGATTCTAGAATAAATTTAGTAAAAAAGATTGATAATAGAAAGATTGAATTTCATATGGAATAATTTTTTTTTTAACAATAATATAGTGTGCCCAAGCTAAGGTTCGAACCTAAACCATCCTTCATCAAAGAAGAAGCAATAACCATAAAGCCACACTATGGCAAGTATAATTGCTTTACATATTAATAATACTTATTCAATGTATATTTTAATTTAATGCACCTTGTGGGAATTATCCCACATCCAAGAATGAGTATAAAAGTGTGTGATATAAATAGTTTCGTTATGCTTTGTTACATGCAAGCGTGGAAACGTGGGGTTGCAATGCTGTGGGGTTGAAGGCTTGCCACGTGTGGTTAAGTTTTGAGACTTGCCATATGTGATTGAGAACCGGTTCTCCCCGGTTTGTGACCTCTATAGGCGATTTATCGTTCAGAACCCAATGTATTCGGCAAGGGGTTATCGATTCCCGTACCGACTAGGGTGAGTCCGTTGCGACTCGCCGATTCTTAAACCATTGTTTTATCCATTACGACTCGCCGGTTTTAGACCATTGATTTACAAAAAAAAAAAAAGAATTCAGCACGGGGTTACCGATTCCCGTACCGACTCGAGCGAGTCCGTTGCGACTCGTTGATTTTTTAACCACTGATTTATAGAAAAACATTAAAAATAAAATAGTGTGGACGTGACATTGTGATTGGGCCAATCTTAATGCTCCATTAAAAAATAGAACGGTTGGATAAAAAGGGAGGATAGAACTTCTTGCTATTAAATTCAAATGAGCATGTAAACATATCAAAGAATAACTTATCATAAAGTCTCACTATTTTAAAATAAAGAAAAAATTATAAATACCCCAAAAATGAACTTTGTAGACATTTTTCCCCTAATACTTTTAGTATCACACCTACAGTCCAAACATTGTTTTTCCTTGCTTTAACCTCTCAATGAAAAGTTAAAATATTTAAGACTAAAATGTCATTCTCCTCTCACATTCTTTCTACCCACCCTCTCTCTCAGTTTTACCCTACCCATTCTCTCTCTCTCTCTTTCTCTCTCCCTACCCACCC